ACTGATTTCTTCACCATGCTATATTACTATCAGATAGATTGACTTTGTCACTATTGTCATCACATACACCTTGGATGTATTTATTTATTAGTTAATTGGCACCTATGATCTTAGTGCCATTGAGTGCTTTTTCATATTTGGCTCGTTTCTATATAGTCAATATTTATATTCCGAGTCCGTTTTACTGATGATTTTAGCTCTGCATATTTGTATGTCTTTATATGGTATGAAGAGGTTCCAGAGGTTCTCCTTTTATGCAAGAAGTTTTTTAACGTATATACATTCACCCAGCGCTCATTTATTTTTATTTACCAGTGTATGGAGAGTGACAACACTTTTCAGTAAGTATAACAAATGTCAGAGAGGAATGCGGCTGTGAGCGAGGTCCGCTGGCACATATTCAATTTATATCTGAGATTGCATTCTTCCTTGAGTTTTATATTATTTATAGTAGATGTGCAGATTTAGGCCCTTGAGGTCAAGGCAATTGAGGTCAGTAATGCTGTACAGTACACCGTTTCAGTTATTTTTATAACATTAAAATAAATGTACTAAATTTAAACTCTAAAAGTACATTTCCTACCCAAGGTCCCTTTCATACGGGAGATCCGATCCGATCCGATCAGGTTCACCTGTCAGTTTTTTAGGCAGACCCGATCGAATGGTCCATTTATCCCTATGGTCCAGCAGGCATAAATGGACTTGTTTTCCACTTACCTCCAATCCGAGCTGGTCCACTAAAAAGAAACAGAGGGGGATCTGTCCTCTTTTGACTAAGCAGATTGGATTGGAGGGCAGTCGAGTATATATGGACGGCACAGTCAGTTAAATCCTGGCCGCCCATAGAGCATCGCAGTGCCACTCATTGTGAATGGCAGCCTAGTACATACAGTAGAGTGCAATATATAGTGTGCTGCAGTGCACCTCATCGCACATAACGTGTTGTGGTGCACTGCATGTTGCAGAAAGAGTAATGCGCATTTTTTTTCATCTGTTATGGTGTGTTGGCAACCCATTTATGATGTCTTAAGCCTGCTACAGGCTTGCAGCATTCATTACTTTGGCTGGTTTTATACTTATGGTGGACCCAAGCCATCGAGAAGAGTACAGCCCTAGCCATAGGAATGAATAGGGTGAATGTGGTACAGTGGATGCTTGATGAGGCTTTTTTTTTTTTTTTTCTTCTTACAAAAGGCTGTGTGTGTGTTTTGGTTTTTTTTTTTCCTCCACAAAACGCTGTGTGGCACTGGGTAGGACTGGAAAGTGAAGATCTCAGGAGCAGCTCAGTATTTAGGTGGGTGCCTGACACTCATGGTATTAAATGGAACATTTAAAGAACACCTGAGACTGAAGCTGGCTTTTAAAGCAACCCTGTTGATTCTCTAACATTTTCCAGGCAGTTGTAATAGAAAAGGATTAATACTTACATTTGGGTGGTGGGTCCATTCTTCGCACACTTAGGGCTCATGTACACTGCAGCTGATAAACTCACGTTTAGGAGCTCTTCAGCGTTTTTTTCAGCAGCCCCTGAACTCTCCCTAATCTTTTCCTATGTGTCCATGTATACATCTTCATTTACAGGCATTTGAGTTTACAGTCGTTTTTTGAATTGCAGAAAACTTGCGTTCAGCAGTCGATTTTATCAGCGTTTGAAACGCAAAACGCTTGTAAATGCGGTGAAACGCGGCAAATCACGATTATAAGCATTTGCATTTTTTTTTAACTCTTCCAGTTCTCTATGCTGTCCAGAGCCTTTCTTCATCATGAAAAATGAATGCAAAGCATTTTCAAGGTACTCAGATGGACAAAACACTGAACACAGGATGTTCCTACCAAGCTGGTCACACATTGTAATGACCAATTCACACCTCAGACCTCTCCCACCCTTGGAAACAAAAGATATGTTAATGACCATTCACACCTCAAATTCCTCATGAAGATCCCCTGCCAGGTGGCCTTAATGACTCCCTCCACCAGACACCTTTCCCACTCTTGGAAACAAAAGAAATGTTAACGAGCAACTCACACCTAAGTTAACCTCAATACATACTGCTCTCTCTGCTTCTACTCTCTGTATTTTTTGAAACAGTCTGAAATAGTTAATAATTTACCACTTTTCAGTGCCTTTTGGGCATTTGGGAGGTTCTCTTGTGCTTATCTTTAAAAAACGCTTCTAAACGCAAACGCGCATAAACGCGTTATGCAAACACAGCTAAACAGACGTTTTTTAACCTACGTTTTCCAGCAATCAGTTTCCATCGTTCAGAAGTTCCGTGTACATGGGGCCTTACTGAGCTAACAGTACTGCTGCTGTACAAAATTTCTGGGTGTGTCTAATAACGTGCTCCCCAATAGGAGTTCTGATTCCAAGTGCTGGCCGTGGAGTTCTGTAGTGACATAACTGCAAGGGAAAGAAGAATGGACTCTACCTGTCCTGATTGGCAAGGGATCCGCTCAGTTCCCTGCTGATTGGAGCAGAGCAGGCAGATGACCAATCCGTATTCACAGTTTATGCAGAGCGAGCACAGACAGAGCTCTATGAACGGCTGGGAGTAAATGGACTTTCCTGTCCGTTTACACCCGACTACCCTCCGATCCTCTTCCTAAATGGTAGAGGACAGATCCCCTTCCATTTTTTTTTTGCAGACCAGATCGAACCTGGAGGTAGGCGGGTGTAAACGGACACAAGTCCAAACGAATGCATGGACCATACAATCAGGTCCGCCTGGAAAACTGACAGGTGGTTCTGATCAGATCAGATAAGATGCAAGGAAAATTTTAAAGCCTTTGTCTTCAATTTTTTCCTGACATTCAATTTGCCCCTCTTAATCATTAGAGAATCAAATGAACCACGTATGGCCAAGTATCCTACTGACACTTGGTTTAAAACCAAAGACAGTGCCTTTGTTTGACCTTACAGTTGACGCAAAAACCAAATAGAGGGGAGGTAAGCTGGATGAGTTACTATGAGAATGTGGTTTCTTTTAACTTGCATACGTGTGTATAGAGGTGTGAATCTTTATATGAATTCAAAACAAGTTTGCTACATGACCCTGGTCTGCTGTAGCTGATTAAATACCTCCTCAAATGACGCAACAAGGAGATAAACTTCACACTGCATGACTAGCTGTCAAGATAAAGACTGTAAAATCCTATGAGAATTATAACCTATTCTGACTCCATATAACACTCAATGCTGTTACTCATCCTAACATATAGCAGTCAAATCTTACCTGTAATCCCAGTCAGCAAAATGCACAGACTAGTTTTTTATTTCAAGCCTGCAGTGCGGTGTGCAAAGAATAAACGCCAAGTGAACCATTACACATAAAAAGTGCAAAAGGTGCATTAATGGTCCCCTCCTGCAGAGAAAGAAATTCCCTGACTGTCCAGGATGCAAGACTCCTGATGGGGACAAGGTACTCTGATCTGATCCACATAGCCAAAAGGCCTGGCAGACCCCTCTCCTCATGGCTAGCGAAAGGCGACCACTGCGTACTAGGTAAAGGCTCTTCCAAATAAACATCCTCAGGCAAGACAAAAAGGAACTTAAGGATCACACATCCTCCCCCTAGACTTCAGGGCAGGCCTGAAGACCCACACCCTACTATGCCGGGTAAGTGACACAAGGACATATATAAATAGTGCACAGGTTGCATCAATGGTCCCCCTCCTGCAGGACAAGGTACTAGGAAAAGACTCTTTCCAAATAAAGATACCCAGGCAGGGGAGGAAGGAAACAAAAGACCACACATCCTCCCCCTAGACTTCATGGCAAACCCGAAGACCCGAACCCTACCATTCTTAGTGAGTGAAACAAGGTCATACATAAAAAGTGCATAGGGTGCATCAATGATTTCCTCCTGAAAAGGAAGAACCTTCTTGATCCCCTGAGCCACAAGACTCCTGATGGGACAAAGCACTCTAGTCCACCTAGCCAAAAGGACTGACAGGTCCCTCTCCTCGGTGCTAGCAAAAGCTGACCACAGAGTAGTCAGAGATCCCCGGGTGGGTGAGCAAGGAACCTAAGGGCCAAGAATCCACCGCCAAGACTTTAGGGCAGGCCTGAAGACCCATATCCTACCATCCTTGATGACTGAAAAAAAAAAGGACACAAAAATTGATTTAGATTAAAGAGGGAGATTAGAACCCGTCAGGTTTTTCTTGCTGTCTGTCACCCCATTAGGGGAGATCCACCCCTCTTTATTTGTCCCAATGGCTATTGGTAAAGTGAAAGAAAATCCCAATTTTGGGTTGTCATCAGAACAGGAATAGAGGGGAAATCTTCCAATGGGGACACTAGTTCTGGTGACAATTTGGAGGGATTTCCACTCACTTCCTGCTTGGGACAAGAAATTAAGGAAATCTCCCCAAAGACCTGACAGTGGTTATAATCGTCTGTTACGCTATTCAATATAAAAAAAATAATTGCCTTCAGTTCTACATTAAAGTAACAATAAAACGGGTAGTTGAGCTTCTGTAGCAGGAGTTGGGCAAGTTAAAAGTGGATCGGGGAAACTACAGCAAAGAGGAAGCTGGGATGTAGCTCATCTAACAACTAACTAGACTTGACCTTACAATTAATGAAGGAATCTGGGCAACTGTTCCACGTTTGCTCCACTTTCAACACAGTTGTGTACAAGGAAAAAAGCACCAAGGGGCTTATTCAATACAAAACGTGCATAGTGCAGTATCTAGACCAGCCAATCAGAATCCACTTTGTACTAGAGTCTGATTGGTTGCTAATAATTACTGCACTTTGAACTGCTGCTTGCACTATACTGTACGCTAGGTTATTGTTTTACAAACAGCAGATGTTGAAATGACTAAATAAAACAGATTAATACGTTACTCTTTACTTTTTAAAAGCTTTTTATTTTATTTTCCAATGAAAGAAAAGCTAAAATTCCTCCTGGTGCCAAAAGCCTTCACATTATAAGGGGCCCTTTTTTTAAAGGCAGTGAATCCAACATTCACCAAAGATTCAATGCAGCCGAATCTCCCAGGTGCATGTGATTAAGTGACAGTGATTGATTCACCATCAGTGCAGTGAACATTTGGTGAAAGCCATTTCCACTCAGGGGTGGACTGAAAACTCATGGGGCCCCCGGGCAATAGGGGATCATGGGGCCCCTGTGCCCCTGTGTCCTTGCCCAAACTCAAAAAAGGCTATGAAAAAGGTACCGGGGCACCTCATGGGGCCCACTACTGACCCCGGGCAGTTTCCAAATGGTCAGTCCGCCCGTTTCCACTGCTTTATAAATAGGTTTCTTATTATGTGAAGGTGATTGGCACCAGGCGGCATTATCCCCCCACGTGTTTGTGTACACCTCACTGCATTATATAATATATATTTAGTTGCAGATGAGATACACTAAATTTGTGCAAATGTTCAAGTAATAAATACCTTTACAAATTACCACCAGGCAAATATAAAAATTTATAACAAACTTGGCGTGAGACTGCATTTCTAAACACAATCTAAAGTCTAAAGTACAATCTGATTGTACAACTTTGTAGTAAGAGGGCCTGCTTGTTTGTATACATATAAAAGTGTCTTTCATGGCCGGAGTTAGCTGTAAGACACTTAAAGAGACCCTGTCACCAGAAAATTCATTTTAACACCAATGTTCTCATAAGATTATATGTGCAGTTATAGAGTAACTCCACTTTTGTTGATCCCCTCTGGGTGATCTAGGTACATTGCAGGACTTCAACAACGTTTCTTGCAGATTTCTACCTGTTTCTGCTCTAACGATAAGGCCCTATTCATATCTGAGCGACTTGGAATCGCGGACAGAATTGCGCTATTCTGCCCACATTTCTGGATTGCGCTAAAAATGCACCAAAACATGCAACATGTGACAAAGCACCCAAAAAAATGCACTAAAACATGCCAAAGTTGGCTCCAAAAAAGCATACAGGAGCCACTTTGGCACACTTTTGGAGTGTTGGACGGCCCATTTAACTAAATGGACTGCCCTAAATGTCACGTTAAAAAATGTGAAAAAAAACCCCCACAAGAAAAACACAACGCTCCTGCCTTGCTCATATATGAATGCAGCCTAAAAGCTGTATGTTTGTTTATGCTAATATGTGGAGGGGATCTGAATGGGAGCAACTTTTTCATTAATAATCGGCTGATGAACTTGCAGGTCTCTAATGAGGAAAGTTGCAGGGCCAGCATCCCTTTAGAAGCGATTAACCCTGGGGGAGTATCTCACCAAAAATGAAATTCCTGTTGCAGAGGATGCCTAAAATCTGACTTGTATCTTAGTGTAAAGTTCTGGGAAAATCAGTAAAACAATCACACAAGCAAGAAATTACATTTCTGGGGAAGATATGTACACCAACTGTGTTGCCATATATGCATTTCAAAGAAATGTACAGCACTGCGGCTTGTGTAGTAATTGTACTGTATATGCTGTTTTTTTCCCCAAAAAGTATAGTTACTCTAATGTATTTTACGCATGCTATTTACCTATAAAACCTCTCTTGTGTAGACATCCACAAGTCCTTAAACTTTTGCTGGATGCCGCCACCTTGGATGTGATGTCAGCTGAACCAGCAGACTCAAAGCTGTTATACAAGTGATGCTCTTTAGTGGAAGAACACGCAGAAACCCAGTGGACTTTTCATCCAATCAATGTATATGCTTTGCCTGCATCATAAGCCCTATAAATGATACTGTTAGTTCCTCAATAAAACAGAATTTTAGAAAGTTGGAAAACTGCGAAGTGTCAGTGTCTTACTTCCACGTGCACGTATTCTCATATTAATTTGGCTCACTGGTAGATCACGGTAAATGGTCTGTAAGTGACCTAGTCCAAGACATCCCCTTCACACATCTATTGACAGCTGCATAAAACAATATGGTGAAGGAAGGGGTGGAGGAGCATGGCCAGCACAGACAGTAACAAGACACTTCTAAAAGGAGAGAGAGCTAGGAGGAGGGAGAGGGCTGTCCTAGAGAATAGACTCTTCCAGGAATAATCAAAACCAGGTCAAGCAAAGGATACCTTACCACCTCCAAACAGCTACAGTCACCCACACTGTCTGCAGCCCGGCTGGTAAAAAATCTAGTACTGGTCTGGCCACACCTTGTCATCGTAGACGTAAAATGGAGTTCAATCCAAAACTGGAAGCTCTGCTTATCTGCCTCCGCTGCCACATTTGGCACCTTTTGGGAGGGGGGGGGGGGGTCCGGGTACCTGGTTTTGAAAGGAACCAGCTCACACTTCCGGCTCAGTTTGCCGCTGTGAACTGAGCCGGAAGTTCAGCCTCCCTCCTTCCCCCGCAGCCCTCTGGGACATTTCACAAGTCCCAGAAGACTGAAGTCCATTCACAAAGCGCAGTGCTATTCATGCACGTGCAGTGTAGGAAACTGGCTGTGAAGCCGCAAAGCTTCACTGCCAGTTTCCCTGAGCCAAGATGGCAGAGAAGAATCGGCTCGTGATCCCTGGACAGTTAAGTGCCCTAATATTAAAAGTCAGCAGCTACAGTATTTGTAGCTGCTGACTTTTAATTTTTGGGAGAGGGGGCGGAACTCCTCTTTAAATGCACTGTACCCTATACTACATGAGCAGTGTCACTTTCAAGCCTATGGGATGTTGGTGTGCCAGGCAGCCCAGCACTTGAGGGAGATGTCTCAGACTGGATGTCACTCCACTTCCTCAAATTAAACCTTGCCAAAACCGAGCTCCTAGTTTTCCCCCCAGCCCACGCCCCCCCCCCCCCCCCCCCGACCTCTCCATCACGACCAACAACGCCACCATCAGCCCCACCCCGCAAGCCAGAGTACTAGGTGTCATTCTAGACTCCAGCCCCAGATCCAATCGCTGACAAATTCATGCAGACTCCACCTCTGCAACATCTCCAAAATACGTCCGTTCCTAACTCCAGAAACTACAAAGCAACTCATTCACTTTCTTATCATATCACGACCTGATTACTGTAACTCCCTCCTCGCCGGCCTACCCCAACACAGACTATCCCCGCTTCAGTCTATCCTGAATTCTGCGGCCAGACTCATCCACCTTACCAACCACTCCGTATCTGCCACCCCCCTCTGCCAATCCCTCCACTGGCTTCCGATTAGCCAACGCATAAAATTCAAAACATTAACACTGACGTACAAAGCTGTTCATTACACTGCCCCAAACTACATCACCGACCTGATATCCATCTACCACCCATAACACACTCTCCGCTCCTCACAAGACCACCTATTCTCCAGTTCCCTGGTCTCCTCCTCCCATGCCCGTCTCTAGGACTTATCCAGGGCTTCTCCATCCTCTGGAACTCACTACCCCAATCCATCAGACTGTCACCTTCCCTCCTCACCTTTAGACGCACCCTGAAAACCTATCTCTTCAGAGAAGCCTACCCCGCCCTCACCTAATTGCTGATCTCCTCCGCTCTTCCCACCACTCCATCCCCCACAGCTGTTTCCTCCTGTACCACTCTCCCCTCCCTCCTAGATTGTAAGCTCCAAGGAGCAGGGCCCTCGAACCCCTCGTGTATTGTATTGTTACTGTACTGTCTTGTGTACTGTCCCCCATTATAATGTACAGCGCTGAGCAAACCGTTGGCGCTATATAAATACTGTATAATAATAATGTCTCTAATGGAGCTCTTGATAGCAGTCAAAACCTTTTCTACTGTATCTAAAACTAAAAAAAAAATGTAGGAAGTCTGGGTATACATAATAATAGGATCTCAAAGAAAGAGTTAAATATATGTCTGGATTTCCTGACGGTTATTGACCAAGGAGCGGTAAAAACAGGTCGAGCCATGGTTGTACCACCTTGTGATTACCTGGCATGCAGCCGCTGAATTCTGTACACATGCTGCAGCAAAAATGAAATGGCATGTCAGTGAATGGAACTGTGCAATGCATATGGTTGTGGAGTGGCAGTGCAGCATTTTAAGGGTTAAAACAGGTGGTGAGGAGGTGACATATCACGTCCTCACTGCCTGTCAATGCCCTAAAAAAACAATCCACTTGAGATTACTTTTCAAAAGAGCAGCTATGCTAGCCGCCCACGTGAACAAGCCCTACCAGCAGCACTGACACAAAAAATACTTATTGTTTAGTACAGTAGGGGAACACTGGAATCCCTGACAGTTTTTTTTATTGCTCTCTGTGTCCTTGTTGCAGTTTTTCCCTTACTTCCTGCCTAGTAAACATGCTGTCACCCTAAAAATGTAAGGGGCTATCCCTTTAACGGAACTCCGGATAACAGTTAAATCAGCGATTCCAATCCTTCTCCACTCCATGCTTTTAAAAAAAAAAGGAAACAGTTTTGGCTTGTCATGCACTTTAAATTGTAAAACCAAAGTGATTCAGCATACCCACAGTCTCTATAAATCTAAACGTCTATAATACACACAAACATACCACCAAAACGGTTTCGTTTTCATTGGGACAAAATGCATAAAAATGACAAGCGGCTTCCAAAAACAGGAGCTTGAAAGTTTACATCAGCCTGATTTATGACTTTTCCCACGGTAAAATAAATGAATAAATAAAAGTGGATAGAAATGCATTTAGCGGCTGGCGTTCCTTTAACTTGGCCGGAGTTCTCATCATCCGAGGCTCAATGGAAACAATGAACAGTGCCGCCTCATTGACTTCCCGGTAAATATCAGCCTTCACTCTCTGGAGCCAAGTCCAAGCAGCAGTCTATAGATATGGCGTGTGACTAACTCCAGGCAAACTTTGCTCATGGCAATCCCTGCAATTAACCTGGACATTCATTTTATTTACCAGCTTCGTAAGGTTCAGTGGTATCAACTTTCTGCCCCTAGTCTGCTGACTGACCAATAAAGTAGCAGCAATACACTCTGTCATCAGCTCTGGTCACTCTGCGTTCTGCTTCTGACCGCATACTCCATCATGAGCATGCAACAGAGTCTGATTGGCTGCCCCTCCTTTCCCAGCCTGGTTTGTAGGGAGTGTCAGCAAGTGAATATCAACAGTCAAGTAATTAATGTGCAATTAAGAGGCTGTAAACCCTCTTATATACCCAGTGAGGTGAATAGTCTCAGATGATACATAGAGATTAAACAAATCCTCCTACATAAGTTTATCAGCAGTCTTCTCTTTTCTACATCCCTTCAAAAGGGCTGATTTTAGGTAACATCTTTCTGCATTTGTCAGTATCACAGAGGAGGGGGTGGAGAGCTGCAGTTAGAGCTCTGTGAGAGCTGATTGGAGGAAAGGGACACACCCGCCCTTTCACACAGCACACAGGAGCTGTGCTGTGAATTGACAAGCTGTTTGCTGAGCTCTCCTCCCAACACCAATTTTATCTCATGTGTTGGGAAAACACCAGAAAGAAACCACACTTAGAGCTTTGGAGAGAGACAAGTAAACACTACAGATATATGTGCTTTGTTCAGATTTCAGGGGTGAGGTTTACAGCCACTTAAAAGGTGAAACTTGGCCAAAAATCTTTTTTTTGTTCCCATGCAGTGGGGCTGTGCCTGCATTGCACAGGTCAACTGCTTGTTTTTGTCTAGGGGAGAGCAGAAAGTTTATACTTGCCCGATCCTCTGGAAATGGTGCTCCCCCATGGTCCAGCACTGGACTTTTCCTTGTTTATGGAGCCTGCACTGGGCATGATGACGTCAGGAACAGTCCACTAATTAAGATCGCTGGAGCGTGGGGGTGCCAGACCAGTGTTGAGCTGGAAGGATCTGAGGATTAGGTAAGTATATAGAAAAAAAAAATAGCAGTTAACCCGTGCAGTGCGGGCACAGCCCCGCTGCATGGGAAAAAAATGAAAATGGGAAAATGTAAAAACACATTTTGTTATTTTTATAGAAATACACAACTACAGTCAATTGAAATTTTTTTTTTTTATATCTGCCCAGAGTTCAGCTTTAAAGGGAACCCAGAAATATGAGCTACCATTTCCATCTTGTTTTTGTTATTAAGGTGCATACTGTGGGAATGTTTTTTTAAAGTCAATCTAGGGTTTTTACCTGAATGCATTCTCTGCTGAAACCTCCTACACCCCCTCCTCCCCCATACTTACCTGAGCCCAATGTCGATGCATCGTTGTGCACAACAGCAGCATCCCTGTGCTCTCTCTCCTCACTGGCTCATAAGCAGCAGGGGGATCCATTGGCTCCTGCTGTTGTTAATCAGATAAATAAGAGAGAAAAAATCATGCGCTAAACCCATTGAGACTAATGATAAACCAATCTTGCAAATAAGTCAGAAAAAATGCAAATGTGATAAAGTGAACTGCTGCTACTCACTTCCTGAATACCAGAATGGGAATTTACAAAAAAACAAAAAAAAGTGCGCTGTTCACTTAAAACCCCAATGGTATAAATACTAAAATGAATGTGTTTTCAATTAATATGTGTATCATAATACAAAAATCACCAAAATATATCATATAAATCAATAAACATTGCACAGATGAACAAATAATGATATATAAAGTCCCCAATCCAACGTGAAGAAAAAGTGCTGCGTGCTGAATAAATCTTATTCTCTTCACAAAAAAGAGCACCATTGAGCACTACAGCACTTTTTGGAGAATTTATTCAGCATGCAGCATTTTTTCTTCACATTGGATTGAGGACTTTATAGTGTATATCATTATTTGTTCATCTGTGCAATGTTTATTGATTTATATGATATATTATTGTAATTTTTGTATTATCATACACATATTAACTGAAAACACATTCATTTTAGTATTTGTAACATGGGGTTTTAAGTGAACAGCACACTTTTTTGTTTAATTTGTTGTTAAACATAGCCAGTGAGATGGGAGTGGGTGGGGTGGGCAATATATTTTATATAGACAAAAACAAAATTTAAATAAGGGAGCAGGACACTCATTTAAAAGTAAGAGGCAGATTTGGAGATCTAGGAATGTAAGCTCATAGATCTCGCCTTTGGAGCAGGGGCGGACAGACAACTCATGGGGCCCCCGGGCAATAGGGGATCATGGGGCCCCTGTGTCCTTGCCCAAACTCAAAAAAGCCTATGAAAAAAAGGTACCAGGGGCATCTCATGGGGCCTCCTACTGACCCTGGGCCCTCGGGCAGTGCCGAGTTTCCAAATGGTCAGTCCGCCCCTGCTTTGGAGTCAAGAAGAAATATAGGGATTCACTCTGCAGAATCTATTAAAGCTTAGGTATCAGCTTTGGGTGTACTAATGTTTCAGGGCCCTTTCACAAGGTTCTCCCAAGTGCTGATCATGTGACTAGAAGCCTAAGCCTATGGTCACATGATCTCTGTTGAAAGGAAGGATTGGAACCCTGGTTGAAATTACATTAGACATGATCAATACTGGGGTGTTAAACCAATAGGAATGTGTGGGGGTAGTCTACCTCTAGGTGCCTACAGTTTACACCTAGATTTTAGACATCACCTTCTGGCTGATTTTATCTCTTAGGATGTCCAAGAGTAAGATCTTGATGTTTTGGTTATTCCTGGCCACTTTGGACAGCCCCCACTCCTCCTGCTACATTATACTTAAAATAGACAAAAACAAAAAATATAAATATAGGAGCAGGGCCCTCTTCCAAAAATAAGAGGCAGGACCTAAGAATGAAAGCTCATAGATCTCGCCACTGGAGTCATAAGATGTATAGGGTTTCACTCTCCAAAATCTAATAAAGCTTAGCTATCAGTTTTGGGTGAACTGATCTTTGAAGGACCCTTCACAAAGAGTGCTGGTCATGTGACAAGCCTAGGCCTTTAGTCACATGATCTCTGTTGAAAGGAAGGCTCGAAACCCTGGATGAAATTAATTAGGCATGATCAGTACTGGTGTGATAGACCAATAGGAATGTGTGGGGGCAGTGTTTAGCAACAAGCTAAGACTCTGCCAGGAAGAGTCTACTTCCAGGTGCCTACACTTTACACCTAGATTGTGGAAGTCACCTTCTGACTTATTTTATCTCTTAGGAATTCCTTGAGTGAGACCTTGGAGTTTTGGTTCTTCCTGGCCCCTTTGGAAAGTCCCTAATCTTTCTGCTGAAATATATATGACAGTGGAAGAAGTATAGGGTTTCACTCTCCACAATCAAACCTAAAGCTTAGGCATCAATTTTGGGTGAACTGATCAGTCCATTCAAAAGGTTTTCCCAAGTGCAGATCATATGCTTAGAAGTCTACACCTTTAGTCACATGATCTCTGTTGAAAGGAAGGATTGGAACCCTGGTTTAAGTCACATTAGTCATGATTAGTACTGGGAGATTTTTTTTTTTCCCCCAAGAAAGGTATTTTGGTCCTTCTAGTAGTCTATTTATCTAACTCAGAAGGTCTAATAATACACTGAAATGATAATATAGGTTGACTTTAATAAAAGCAACATTAGCCGCTTCTTAACATATAAAAATAAACAAAGCTCTTGAAATGTTAATTATATCACTTGAGTCTGCAGGACTTCAAACCAGCTCAGCAAGACAGGATTAACAGTTGCATTTATCGCACAGAGCATTGTGTAAGAGTGCCGCTGGCCTTTATATAGGTATGCATGGCATGGGGGGCATTTTTCCGACACAGTTCTTGGTATTGGAAGAGTCTGCTCTGTTGCACAAGAGGGCTGAGAGAGAATGATATGTATCAAGTGTTTTCCTAGAAAAATGCAGTAAGACTGCCTGCCAGCTGGTCGGATGTCAGTGTCCAAGCCAGGCTGCCGAGATCACTGTGGATGAGTCATGGTGAGTCATTCGTCAGCTATTTTCCCCTTTTCATGTACTGCCAGTCGCTACGTTAATATTCAACTCGAGAGTAAATTTAGCAAACCAGGAAAACAACTGTTTCCATGGCAGCTTGTACATAATATTTATGCTATAGACAGTAATCAGCGGAAGGAATTTAGAGTAGTAAATGGTGAGAAAATGTGAGCCTTACGTTTATTGCCCCAGTCCATATAAGTTTTGTTTCAGTTCGTGATAGCATATCGAGAAGTGAGGATGGATTGCGTAAGAGGCCTGGCTCTCCCCGCTGGGGCTAGAAATTAGGCCAAGCTGGTAGCATGAAAAATATCAAGTTGTGGGCACAATGCCAGTGATGTGGACTTTACTAAACATAGACAGTTTTTATGACCAGCGCTGAGCGAACTATTGGCGCTTTATAAATACTGTATAATAATAATAATAATGACCTGGTAGGGTAGAGGTACTTCCATCTGCCTGGTATCAGTAGCACATCCTAGGCAAAGGTTGTATTTGTAGTCATTTTAAAGCTGAACTCTGGGCACAAAAACTTTCATTTAAAGGATAAGTTCACCTTTTAACAAAAATAATAAATGCACATTTTTTTGCAGGTAAAAAAATGTGCATTTACTATTTTTTTGTTTTGGGACCCTGGAAAGCATTGCACCAGTGATCAGCAGATTGTTGGTGCCATGTAGGACTCCTGCAGATTTGTCAGTGTACAGTTAGGTCCATATATATTTGGACACAAGCACAATTTTCATACTTTTGGCTCTGTATGCCACCAGAATAAATTAAAACAAAACAATCCAAATTAATTTGAAGTGCAGACTTTTGGCTTTAATTCAAGGGGTTGAACATAGATATCAAGTACAAATTTTAGGAACTGCAACCATTTTTATACACAGTCCCTCCATTTTCAGGGGCTCAAATGTAACTGGACAAATGAATATACTCATAAATAAAATGTTCATTTTTAATATTTTGTTGAGAATCCTTTACTGGCAATGATTGCCTGAAGTCTGGAACCCATGGACATTACCAAAGACTGGGTTTCCTCCTTTCTGGTGTTCTGCCAGCTGTCTTCAGTTGTTCTTTGTTGGTGGGTCTTTCTGCCTTTAGTTTTGCCTTCAGGAAGTGAAATGCATGCTCAATTGGGTTGAGATCAGGTGATTGACTCGGCCATTGCAGAATATTCCACTTCTTTTCCTTCAAAAGCTACTGGGTTGCTTTTGCAGTGAGTTCGGATCATTGTCCATCTGTACTGTGAAGAGCCGTCCAATCAACTTTGCTGCCTTTGGCTGAATCTGGGCTGACAGTAAATCTCTAAACACTGCAGAATTCATCCGGCTGCTTCTGTCTTCTGTCACATCATCAATAAACACCAATGACCCAGTGCCACTGGAAGCCATGCATGCCCATGCCATCACACTGCCTCCATCATGTTTTACAGATGACGTTGTGTGCTTTGGATCATGAGCTGTTCCAAGCCTTCTCCACATATTTTTCTTCCCGTCATTCTGGTACAGATGAATCTTGGTTTCATCCGTCCAATGAATGCTTTTCCAGAACTGGTCTGGCTTTTTTAGATGTTTTTTGGCAAAGTCTAATCTGGCTTTTCTATTCTTCAAAGAAAAGGCCGAATGGATCCACCTCCAAAAGAAAAAAAAAAAACAAACCACACACAACTCAGCCAAAAAAGTCTTAAAGTATTATGTGAAAAAAAAAATATATACCGGTATATGAAAAAATGTCACCAATATTGATATGGATACTGTATATAAAGTGTATCCATACAGGAACATTTATTTACACATTATATATAAGTACTAAAAGATCATTATCATTTAGGGCAGGGATTATCCATGTGCTACACTAGAGGCATGCATTCATATTCTGGGACTATGAGTAAGTAAGGTCCATTAATTAATTATTTACTTTTTGCATTCTACTTTTTATTCATGGATCAATTAATCTATTTGCTTTTTTATTTATTTACTATTGGTGACATTTTTTCATATATATATATTTTTTCACATAATACTTTAATACTTTTTTGGCTGAGTTGTGTGTGTTTTTTTTTGGAGGTGGATCCATTCAGCCCTTTCTGTGATTGGGCCTTTCCGTGAGTGGGGGGGGAAGGATTTCTTGACCTCCTTCACATTCTTGGGTATATAAGAGTTGGAACAGCAGGGACATATTTTAGCTCTGAAGAAGGGGGTTCGTCCTCCCGAAATGCGTCAGTTTATCCCTATTTAGGGCACAGCATTGTATTGGACTGCCTTTGCGGACCACTTATTCTACTTGTATTTTCCTTTGATTTGTGAGTATATAACTATAAACATATATATATATATATATATATATATATATATAACAATAAACACGTGGTGTACCACGGTAATGCACAATGAGAGTGCGCCCTTTTTGCTTTTGTTCATCATATATCCAGATTTCCCGATCTTTGAAGGGCTGCACCTCCTCGTTTGGCATTCTGAAATCCTTCTAGTCTGCATGAAGATTTGAGCGCTGGTTTTCGTTTGTTAGTTTTTGGATAGCACCAAAAAGGTGCAGGACCCTTTTTTGTGTCTGCACTAGAATCAGATTGCATGTGTATTCACACCTATGCGATACGATTCTGTACATTGCACCGCGTTTTGCAGACCGATTTCGGGGTGTTGTTAACTTAACATACACACCCGCATTGGTTTGCATGAACGGGGTGCGATTCTGATGCGGTGCGTCACTGCAAATTCCACACCGCATCAGTGTGAACCCAGCCTGACTAATTTCCTTGTTTCCTATCGTGTTCAGTTACAGTTATGTGAAAAAGTAAGGAAACCCATTAAAACTGACGTTTTCAACATATTTGAACAGGAAAACATTAGCTCTAGATCCAAAGAGTACCTCAAAATAAAGGTGATATATTTGAACAAATGACACTTAAAATTTTCCATGATATGTTCACTTTTATTATATAAATCAGGGGTCTCCTGTGGTGGAAGGAAAGAAAATTGTATCATCCATGGCTTCCTTCAGAGGCTGGTGGGCAGTTTTACAAACTGCCTACAAGAAGTCATTTCTGGTACAGGAGACCATACCTTACTTTTTCGACACCTTTACATCTATTGATTTTTTTTTTTTTTACTAAATGATTGAAAAGGAAGCTTTTTTTTTTGTTCCTATCAGTAGGCATTGTTTGAATAAAGATCACTTGTTTGTTCAAATATGTTGAAAACAATTCAACAATATCCATGGGGTGTGCTTAATTTTTCACATGCCTGTATAACACATCACTTTCTAAAGAATAGACCAACTCACCCATAAATAATATTTCTGTCCTGAATGATTGATCACAAGCTCTCAGAACTCCAGTAGTGAGGTAACCCCACCAGAATTCCCAGTATCAGCCATCACAAG